TGGCACGGGTACAGATGGCACGGGTGCAGATGGCACGGGTACAGACAACACGGGGCTCGGCACGGGTATATATGGCACGGGTACAGACGGCACGGGTACAGACAGCATGGGGTTCGGCACGGGTACAGACGGCACGGGTACAGACGGCACGGGTACAGACGGCACGGGGCTCGGCACGGCACGGGTACAGATGGCACGGGTACAGATGGCACGGGTATAGATGGCACGGATACAGACGGCACGGGCTTCAGCACGGGTACAGATGGCACGGGTACAGATGGCACGGGGCTCGGCACGGGTATAGATGGCACGGGTACAGACGGCACAGGGCTCAGCACGGGTACAGACGGCACGGGTACAGATGGCACGGGCCTCAGCATGGGTACAGATGGCACGGGTACAGACGGCACGGGGCTCAGCACGGGTACAGACGGCACGGGTACAGACGGCACGGGGCTCAGCACGGCTACAGACAACACGGGACTCAGCACGGCACGGGTACAGACGGCACGGGTACAGACGGCACGGGTACAGACGGCACGGGGCTCAGCACGGGTACAGACAGCATGGGTACAGACAGCACGGGTACAGACAGCACTCGGCTCGGCACGGGTACAGACGGCACGGGTACAAACGGCACGGGTACAGACGGCACGGGTACAGACGGCACGGGGCTCAGCACGGCACGGGGACAGATGGCACGGGTACAGATGGCACGGGTACAGATGGCACGGGTATAGATGGCACGGGTACAGACGGCACGGGTACAGATGGCACAGGTACAGACGGCACGGGTACAGACAGCACGGGGCTCGGCACGGGTACAGATGGCACGGGTACAGACGGCACGAGGCTCAGCACGGGTACAGACGGCACGGGTACAGACAGCACGGGGCTTGGCACGGGTATAGACAGCACGGGGCTCAGCACGGGTACAGATGGCACGGGTACAGACGGCACGGGGCTCGGCACGGGTATAGACAGCACGGGGCTCAGCACGGATACAGATGGCACGGGTACAGATGGCACGGGTACAGACAGCACGGGTACAGACAGCACGGGGCTCAGCACGGGTACAGATGGCACGGGTACAGACGGCACTGGTACAGACAGCACGGGGTTCAGCGCGGGTACAGATGGCACGGGTACAGATGTCACGGGTGCAGATGGCACGGGTACAGACGGCACGGGTACAGACAGCACGGGGCTCAGCACGGCACGGGTACAGACGGCACGGGTATAGATGGCACGGGTACAGACAGCACGGGTACAGACAGCACGGGTACAGACGGCACGGGTACAGACAGCACGGGGCTCGGCACGGGTATATATGGCACGGGTACAGACGGCACGGGCACAGACAGCACGGGTACAGACGGCACGGGTACAGACAGCACGGGGCTCGGCACGGGTATAGATGGCACGAGTACAGACGGCACGGGTACATACCGCACGGGTACAGACGGCACGGGTATATATGGCACGGGTACAGACGGCACGGGTACAGACGGCACGGGTTCGATGGTTTCTTTATTGACGTCTTCAGGGCGCGTTGAGCAACTCGCCGTCCTCCCGTGCCCCCCCCCTCCCCCCCCCCGCGAGCTGCAACAATCGCCTCGCGTGGTGCGCGCGAACCAACGTGGAGTTCTTTGCGTGGAGTCACTGAGCGCGCCGCGGAACCTCGTCTAGGTCGACTCGGCCTCAAATGAGCGCGCGGTTCGGTGGGTGCACAACGAGCGCCGGGGAGACAAAGGCGGAGACGCGCTGCTGTGGCGCTTGTCTTTGTCTCCGTCTTTGTCTTTGTGTGTGAGTGTGTGTGTGTGTGAGTGTGTGTGAGTGTGTGTGTGAGTGTGTGTGAGTGTGTGTGAGTGTGTGTGTGAGTGTGTGTGAGTGTGTGTGAGTGTGTGTGTGAGTGTGTGTGAGTGTGTGTGTGAGTGTGTGTGAGTGTGTGTGAGAGTGTGTGTAAGTGTGTGTGAGTGTGTGTGTGTGAGTGTGTGTGAGTGTGTGTGTGAGTGTGTGTGAGTGTGTGTGAGTGTGTGTGAGTGTGTGTGTGAGTGTGTGTGAGTGTGTGTGAGAGTGTGTGTAAGTGTGTGTGAGTGTGTGTGAGTGTGTGTGAGTGTGTGTGAGTTATTTAACATCTATTTTGACCGCGTAGTTCGTGAAGCCTTCAATAGCTGTACCGGAGGAATTTCCATTTGGTACAGATACAATGGGAGGCTGATCGACGCCCGGGTGCGATCAAGGGATGGCTCCCTATTGGTCAACCACGTTATGTATGCCGATGATTTGGTAATAGCTGCTCATTCAGAAGAGGAGTTGGAGACGCTGCTGCTGAGACTGGAGCGTGCCACCAAGAGGTGGGGCCTTACCATCAGCCCCACCAAAACTAAGCACCTGCCTGGGTATTTTGTACCATCGGACACTCCACCCCCACAACTCCCAATTGGTGATGGGGCAGTTGTGGAGAGAGTGGAGAGTTTCCCATACCTGGGCAGTGTGCTTATGACCGGCTCCAGTCTATCAGCAGAGGTCTCACTCCGAATCAGTCGAGCGGCAATATCTTTTCATCGGTTGCGTAACGCTGTGTGGAAGCTACCTGGTCTGTCGCTCCGCACGAAGCTTCAGGTCTTCTCGGCCACGGTCATTCCCTCCCTTCTCTACGCTTGCGAGACGTGGACCCCCCTGGTGGAGCATCTTCGCCGGTTGGAAACATTTAGGCTGGCCTGCCTACGATCCATCCTGGGTTTAACCAGGCTGGATTGTGTGAGGAGCTCACAAATCCTTGAAAGATCTGGGCAAAGTCCCATCAGTGAGCTCCTCCGGCAGGCAAGGCTGCGTTGGCTGGGTCATGTAGCCCGCATGCCCAGCCACCGCATGCCTAAACAGCTTTTGTTCGGCCGGATCGAGGGGGCTAGACGGGCGCGGCACGGGCTGGAGAAGAGATGGAGTGATGTGGTACAGGAGGACGTGGAGCTGAGTGGACTTGCCGATGACTGGTACCAGCGGTGTCAAGATCGGCCTCAGTGGAGGAGGCTCGTGAAGGACGCTACTGGGCAGTTGGAGGCAGTCGCCCTCCAACAACAACGGAGGGCGGAGGAGCGACGCTCACAACAACGAGCGGAGCGCCGGGTGGCTAAAGCACAGCAAGTTGGCACAGTAGGGGGCACAGGTGGTGCATCAGCCAGTCATCTCGGTCATCTCGGTCAGTCGACCCGTGGCACCTGCTGGGTCTGCCCCGTGACCTCCTGCCAGCGGGCTTTCGACACTTCACGTGGCCTCAAGGTGCACTTGGCCTGGCACAAGCATCGTGGTGACGTCACCGCCACTTAGTGGCGAATGGCGGTTGTTGTTGTGTGTGTGAGTATGTGTGTGTGAGTGTGTGTGAGTGTGTGTGAGAGTGTGTGTGAGTGTGTGTGAGTATGTGTGTGTGAGTGTGAGTGAGTGTGTGTGAGAGTGTGTGTAAGTGTGTGTGAGAGTGTGTGTGAGTATGTGTGTGTGTATGTGAGTGCGTGTGTGTGTGTGAGTGTGAGTACGTGTGTGTGTGAGTATGTGTGTGTGAGTGTGTGTGAGTATGTGTGAGTGTGTGTGAGTGTGAGTGCGTGTGTGTGTGAGTGTGTGTGAGTGTGTGTGAGAGTGTGTGTGAGTGTGTGTGTGAGTGCGTGTGTGAGTGAGTGTGCGTGAGAGTGTGTGTGTGTGAGTAAGTGTGTGAGTGTGTGAGAGTGTGTGTGAGTGTGTGTGTATGAGTGTGTGTGTGAGTGTGTTTGTATGTGAGTGTGTGTGTGTGAGTGTGCGTGAGTATGTGTGTGTGTGAGTGTGTGTGAGTGTGTGTGAATGTGTGTAAGTGTGTGAGAGTGTGTGTGAGTGTGTGTGAGTGTGTTTGTATGTATGTGTGAGTGCGTGTTGTGGGGAGCGGTAGTGTAGCGGTTAGCGCGCTGCGCTATGAACCTGGCGACCCGGGTTCGATTCCCGCTCACGGCCAACACCAGTGACGATTATCTGAACAGGTCCTGGGCCTCCCCCTAGGTCGACTCAGCCTTAAATGAGTACCTGGTGCGCTGTGTAAACATCGCCACTGGGGAGACAAAGGCGGTAGGGCGTGGTGCTGGCCACCCACCCCCTCGTGTACCGTTCCGGCCTTCATAGGTGCTCGCTAACAGCACTTGCCCCTACAGTCTGTTAAGGCTATATAGGGGATCTTTGTTATCTTTGTCTTTGTTTAGTGTGTGAGGGTGTGAGGGTGTGTGTGTGTGAGAGTGTGTGTGTGTGTGTATGAGTGTGTGAGAGTGTGAGTGTGAGTGTGTGAGAGTGTGAGAGTGTGAGAGTGTGAGAGTGTGAGTGTGAGAGTGTGTGTATGAGTGTGTGAGTGTATGAGTGTGTGAGTGTATGAGTGTGTGAGTGTATGAGTGTGTGAGTGTATGAGTGTGTGAGTGTATGAGTGTGTGAGTGTGTGAGTGTGTGAGTGTGTGAGTGTATGAGTGTGTGAGTGTATGAGTGTATGAGTGTGTGAGTGTGTGTGAGTGTGTGAGTGATCTCAGTCATCTCAGTCAGTCGACCCGTGGCACCTGGGTCTGCCCCGTGACCTCCTTGCCAGCGGGCGTTCGACACTTCACGTGGCCTCAAGGTGCACATAGCCTGGCACAAGCGTCGTGGTAACGTCACCGCCACTTCGTGGCGAATGGCGGTTGTTGTTGTTGAATGTGTGTGTGAATGTGTGTGAGTGTGCGTGAGTGTGTGTGTGAGTGTGTGTGTGGACAAAGATCCCCAGCATAGTCTTAACAGACTGTAGGGGCAAGTGCTGTTAGCGAGCACCTATGAAGGCCGGCACAGCACACGAGGGGGTGGGTGGCCGACACCACGCCCAGCCACCTTTGTCTCCCTAGTGGCGATGTTTACACACCGCACCAAGTAGTCATTTGATGCTGAGTCGACCGAGGGAAGGCCCAGGATCGGTTCAGATAATTGTCACCGGTGTTGGCCGTGAACAGGAATCGAACTCGGGTAGCTGGGTTCGTAGCACAGGGTAGCGCTAACCGCTGCACCACCGCTCCCCACAAGCGCTAGTGTAGCGGTTAGCGACCCGAGTTCGATTCCCACTCACGGCCAACACCGGTGACGATTATCTGAATCGGTCCTGGGCCTCCCCTAGGTCGACTCAGCCTCAAATGAGTACCTGGTGCGTTGTGTAAACATCGCCAATAAGGAGACAAAGACGGCCGGCCGTGGTTCTGGCCACCCACCACCTCGTGTACCGTGCTGTGAGTGAGTGGATGAGTGGGTGAGTGAGTGAATGTCGTTGTGAGTTGCAGTGTGGTGAGTGGATGAGTGAGTGGATGAGTGAGTGTCCTTGTGAGCTGCAGTGTGGTGAGTTGGTGAGTGAGTAGATTAGTGGGTGAGTGAGTGTTATTGAGAGCTGCAGTCTGGTGAGTGGGTGAGTGAGTGAGTGCCGTTGTGAGTTGTAGTGTGGTGAGTGGATGAGTGAGTGGATGAGTGAGTGTCCTTGTGAGCTGCAGTGTGGTGAGTGGGTGAGTGAGTGTCGTTATGAGTTGTAGTGTGGTGAGTGGGTGATTGTGTGAGTATCGTTGTAACCTGCAGTGTGGTGAGTGGATGAGTGAGTGGGTGAGTGAGTGGGTGAGTGAGTGGGTGAGTGGGTGAGCGTCGTTGTGACCTGCAGTGTGTTGAGTGGATGAGTGAGTGGACGAGTGAGTTGATCAGTGGGTAAGTGAGTGTTATTGAGAGCTGCAGTGTGGTGAGTGGGTGAGTGAGTGAGTGTCGTTGTGAGTTGCAGTGTGGTGAGTGGGTGAGTGAGTGGATGAGTGAGTGAGTGGGTGAGTGTTATTGAAAGCTGCAGTGTGGTGAGTGGGTGAGTGGGTGGGTGAGTGAGTGAGTGGGTGGGTGAGTGAGTGAGTGGGTGAGTGTTGCTGTTTCAAATCAAGATGGTTGCTGTGGTCTTTGTGTGTGACTGTGTGGGCGATTTTGCGGAGGAGGTGGTGGAGGAGGAGGTGTTGGAGGAGGAGGTGGAGGAGGTGGAGGAGGAGGTGTTGGAGGAGGAGGTGTTGGAGGAGGAGGAGGTGGAGGAGGAGGTGATGCGGGCTGCTCAGTAGCGCGAGAGGCGGCACGTGTCGCACTGGCAGCTCCGGGCCGTGAACGCCTCCACCCAGTCCCCGTCATCACCACACGGCACCCGCACCTAGAGTAGCACCATCACACACACACCATCACACACACACCATAACACACACACCATCACACACACCATCACACACACACCATCACACACCCCATCACACACACCATCACACCCACCATCACACACACCATCACACACACCATCACACACACACCATCACACACACACCATCACATACACACCATCACACACACACCATCACACACACACATCACTCACACACCATCACACACATACACCATCACACACACACCATCACACACACCATCACACACACACCATCACACATACACCATCACACATACACCATCACATACACACATCACACACACACCATCACGTACACACCATCACATACACACCACATCATCATCACCATCATCACCACCATCATCACCGTCATTATCACCATCATCATCATCACCACCATCATCACCATCATTATCATCACCATCATTATCATCATCACCATTATCATCATCATCACCATTATCATCATCATCACCTACTGTGTTATCGTCAGTTTGTCAGTTTCACATGCAGTGACAGTGGTCGTAGGGCTGTCGCGACCAATATAATCCACAACAGCAGTTTTTAATTTGGGTTAGATCGTGTAAATATAAATGCGTCGTTAAACCACGAATTCATATTTTCTTTTTTACAAAAGACTCATTCACATCGAGGCGATCTAAACCCAAACAATCGCGAAACAGACCACTCGATTATGGACGTGTTCTCGTCTTCTGCCAAGCCAACCGGACTTGGCCACGTGGTACATGGGCACGTGGTACGTGGTATGTGGTGTGAGGCCACGTGGTACATGGGCACGTGGTACGTGGTGTGTGGGCACGTGGTGTGTGGGCACGTAGTGTGAGGCCACGTGGTACGGGGGCACGTGGTACATGGCACGTGGTACGTGGCACGCGGTTACGAGCGGCGCGAGCCGTCGCGTGGCCCGCGGAGCCGCGAGGTGCCGGTGGTGCCCCCCCCCCCTCCGCTACCTTCTCGAGGCGGCTCACGGTGCAGCACTGCGCCACCGAGGTGACGTTGTGCCGGTAGCCGGAGGCGCGCAGCACCGAGAAGCGCGAGGGGAAGGCGCTCGACTCGCAGAAGCCCACGCAGGCGCTCAGACGCGCCGGGCAGCTCCAGCGGCCGCCACGCGCCACCACCGCCACCGCCACTTCGAACGCTGCGGGGGGGGAAGGGGGGTAAATCAAACGGGGCAGCTGCCACCAGCCCAGAGACTCACATAGACCCCCAGCCTCCCACAGCTCACAGCTGCCACCAGCCCAGAGACTCACATAGACCCCCAGACTCCCATACCTCACAGCTGCCACCAGCCCAGAGACTCACATAGACCCCCAGACTCCCATAGCTCACAGCTGTCACCAGCCCAGAGACTCACATAGGCCCCCAGACTCCCATACCTCACAGCTGCCACCAGCCCAGAGACTCACATAGACCCCCAGACTCCCATAGCTCACAGCTGCCACCAGCCCAGAGACTCGCATAGACCCCAGACTCCCATAGCTCACAGCAGGCACCAGCCCAGAGACTCACATAGACCCCCAGACTCCCATAGCTCACAGCTGCCACCAGCCCAGAGACTCACATAGACCCCCAGACTCCCATAGCTCACAGCAGCCACCAGCCCAGAGACTCACATAGACCCCCAGATTCCCATAGCTCACAGCAGGCACCAGTCCAGAGACTCGCATAGACCCCCAGAATCCCATAGCCCACAGCTGCCACCAGCCCAGAGACTCACATAGACCCCCAGACTCCCATAGCTCACAGCAGGCACCAGTCCAGAGACTCACATAGACCCCCAGACTCCCATAGCTCACAGCAGGCACCAGTCCAGAGACTCACATAGACCCCCAGACTCCCATAGCTCACAGCAAGCACCAGCCCAGAGACTCACATAGACCTCCAGACTCCCATAGCTCACAGCAGCCACCAGTCCAAAAACTCACATAGACCTCCAGACTCCCATAGCTCACAGCAGGCACCAGCCCAGAGACTCGCATAGACCCCCAGACTCCCATAACTCACAGCAGTCACCAGCCCAGACTCACATAGACCCCCAGACTCCCATAGCTCACAGCTGCTACCAGTCCAGAGACTCACATAGACCCCCAGACTCCCATAGCTCACAGCTGACACCAGCCTAGAGACTCACATAGACCTCCAGACTCCCATAGCTCACAGCTGCCACCAGTCCAGAGACTCACATAGACCCCCAGACTCCCATAGCCCACGGGGCAGCTTGCATCAGCCTAGAGACTCACATAGACCCCCAGACTCCCATAGCTCACAGCTGGCACCTGGCTCACAGTGCGATTTGTCTCATTGCCACTGGGTAGGTTAACATACAACGGGGTAATTCACCAACCCGCACTGACCAGCGTGGTGAAGTTTGGTCAATCAATCCTCGTGACTGACAAATAATTGAGTCGAAGTCACGTTCCAGCTCGAATGAGCGGTGCACATCGTCCCGTTTACAGCCCCGAGGCAGGGCGTGGACATTCCACATTCCTATGGTGGGGTCGAGTTTATCCATAGGACAACCGCTGTACACTTTCCAACAAGCGGTATTACCCAGGAAGAAGATTTTAAGAAATAGTGCTCCGTGAATTTTGCAATACTCACAGAGCGCCTATTAGCCTGGGGAAGCCTCACAGAGTCTTGGAATTATCAACAAAACATTTCAGCAGGGCCCCGCTCCACAGGGAGGTTTGGAAAATTACCACCGCGAGGATTTTGCTTTCTCGCGGAAGGCAAAACCCACGCCGCATACGTATTGGGGGGAGAGTGACAACTCAAAATCTCCCCACGTGCACATTTTCAAGAATCCATTGGTGCACCTCCATCTCCTTGGCCCCGACCCGGTAACACCGCCAGCGCCCCCAGCGTGCCAGGGCTGGGCTGCAGCCTGACTCCGGGGAGGGGGGGAGGGAGGGGAGGGAGGTGGGGGCATCTCGTTGCTTCTCTGAGTGATGTCCAGGGATTCCTTCCCCGCCCCCTTCACTCCAAGCGTGATGCGACCGATAGGGGTCCAGTCGGCCACAATGAGGTCCCCCAGAGACAACAGGTAAACAAATATCAACTTAAATTCAACATTCATTAAAAATCGCCTGCGCTCTACCGTGGAGCAAGACCCCATTGACGCATTTGGCTATCGCGTCAAGAGAGCAGCAATGACGTTGGGAGATCCACAACCCCTTTTTGAAGAAACCCTAGACCGATGGGGCCCGCCATGCAAGCAAGACGCACGACAACTAGATTGTGAGCATCGTTTCCTTTACATCTTTTATCGTATTAACACTTTCATTGTCAGACTGTCTTGCTCTAAACCCCAATACACGGTGCAGCAAACCAAAATAATATATACAGTAGAGTTATAGCTTCACATATTATTATTGTTATATACGGGGTTAAAAACATCGCGTAGCTATTTCAGTTAAAAGTGAGTCGGGAGAAAGGAGTGAGGCCCACCAGTGGTATCTTATATATAGAGCATACAATAATATGTAGTTATAGCCTACATATTGTTGTATACTAATAATATATGTGTGTAGTGACATAGCGCTGACTGCTGGACAGCAGCAGCAACTGCAGGTGGGCACTTAGCGCACACGCCGCTGAGCGTACACGCGGTGTGTGTGTGTGTGCCGGCAGGGTGGAGGAACTGGGGCAAGGGTCACAATAGACCTCGTGTGGAAGCCCCTGGAACCCTCTAGAGGGTTCGAGAAGGGAAGCTGGAACCCTCTAGAGGGTTCGAGAAGAGAGGCTGGAACCCTCTAGAGGGTTCGGGAAGGGAGGCTGGAACCCTCTAGAGGGTTCGAGAAGAGAGGCTGGAACCCTCTAGAGGGTTCGAGAAGGGAGGCTGGAACCCTCTAGAGGGTTCGAGAAGGGAGGCGCGGCTAGGGCGGAGCCAAGCCGCGCCGAGGGGAATAAAAGCAGCGGAGAGCGAGAGCTCCTGGCTGCCGGTTCTGGGAGTGGACCCGTCTCGTAGACGCCATCGTCGTCGTTGCCGCTGCCGCCTTCACCCGATCATCGCGCGGTCGAAGCCGTCGGTGCAACGCGGACAGGGTCTTGTCTGGGGCTCGGCACGCGGCAGCGGGGTCGTGTGTCAGAGAGAGAGAGGGGGGGGGGGGTCCCGAGTGGTGGCGTGAGCTCGGCAACAACAGCAACGAATGAAGAGGGCAGAGGGGTGCCTGCTGCGACCACCTCGTCTCCGGCTGGCAGTGTGTGCGATGCACGACACCCACACGCACAGACGACACTACATATGTAGAATAATAATATACATATAGTAGAGTTATAGGCTAATCATTCATATTGTATATGGGGTTAAAAAAACAGCCCGTAGCTATTTAAGTTAAAAGTGAGTCGGGAGGGACAGGCGTGCGAGCCCACAGTCGGATGTTGCCTAGCCCACACTGCAGTGTAAGGAGTCGTCGATTCTCTGAGCCACTTCTCAGCGCCTTGCCCGCTAGACGAGTTCCTAGACGGGGCTCTGCGGGCTCCTCCCCCCACCCAGCTACCCCCTCCCGCGGGAGCCTCCACCCAGCGGCGGCTCCACCCGGTGGTGGCGACTCACGGTAAAGGTGGCAGCCCGGGGTCGCGGGGTCCTGGGGCAGCGCGGCGCTGAGGGCGAGGAGGGCCAAAGCGGAGATTGGGCCCATCGCGATCGACGCCGTGATGAGCACAGGGTAGAGTCTAGATCACGGGGTAGAGTTGAAAACACGGGGTAGAGTTTAGAACACGGGGTAGAGTCTAGATCACGGGGTAGAGTTTAAAACACGGGGTAGAGTTTAGAACACAGGGTAGAGTCTAGATCACGGGGTAGAGATTAAAACACGGGGTAGAGTTTAGAACACAGGGTAGAGTCTAGATCACGGGGTAGAGATTAAAACACGGGGTAGAGTTTAAAACACGGGGTAGAGTTTAGAACAGGTTAGAGTGTAGGACTCAGGGTAGAGTCTAGGTCACGTGGTAGAGTCACGGACACGGGGTGGAGTCACGTGGTAGAGTCTAGGACACGAGTCTAGGACACAGGGTAGAGTGAAGGACACGTGGTAGAAATATCGTGATTGTTGAGGTTTTGATCGCGTTGGTTGTGGTCGTGATTGTGCTGCTCGTTGTTGTTGTGGTTGTGGCAGTTGTAGCGGTGGTAGTTGTGGTGGTTGTTGGATCGTACCTGTGCGGTCTGGAGTCGGTGTAACGTGGTCAGACCCTGGCCGGAGGAGAGTTTCAGTGAAGGAGAGAGTCTTAGTTCGTTGAGAGGGAAGAGCAAAACACTTCGAGTGAGAGTGAGAGAGTCAAAGTGAAGTGAGAGCGAGAGAATTAAGGCGGAGTGAGGAGGGGGAGCGGGAGGGGTTAATGTGAAGTGAGGGGAGAGTCTAAATGACGTGAGAGGGAGAGCGGGAGAGGGTAAATGTGGAGTGAGGGGGGGGGGGAAAGACTGGGTGGAGTGAGAGGGTTAATGTGGAGTGAGAGGGTAAATGTGGAGTGAGAGGGTTAATGTGGAGTGAGAGGGAGAGTGGAGTGAGGGGGTTAATGTGAAGTGAGAGGGTTAATGTGGAGTGAGGGGAGAGTGGAGTGAGAGGGTTAATGTGGAGTGAGGGGGGGAGAGAGAGGGTGGAGTGAGAGAGAGAGTGGAGTGAGAGGGTTAATGTGGTGTGAGAGGGTTAATGTGGAGTGAGGGGGAGAGTGGAGTGAGAGGGAGAGTGGAGTGAGAGGGTTAATGTGGAGTGAGAGGGTTAATGTGGAGTGGGAGGGAGAGTGGAGTGAGAGGGTTAATGTGGAGTGAGGGGAGAGTGGAGTGAGAGGGTTAATGTGGAGTGAGAGGGTTAATGTGGAGTGAGGGGGAGAGTGGAGTGAGGGGGTTAATGTGGAGTGAGAGGGAGAGTGGAGTGAGAGGGAGAGTGGAGTGAGAGGGTTAATGTGGAGTGAGAGGGTTAATGTGGAGTGGGAGGGAGAGTGGAGTGAGAGGGTTAATGTGGAGTGAGGGGAGAGTGGAGTGAGAGGGTTAATGTGGAGTGAGAGGGTTAATGTGGAGTGAGGGGGAGAGTGGAGTGAGAGGGAGAGTGGAGTGAGAGGGTTAATGTGGAGTGAGAGGGTTAATGTGGAGTGAGGGGGAGAGTGGAGTGAGGGAGTTAATGTGGAGTGAGTGGGAGAGTGGAGTGAGAGTGGAGTGAGGGAGTTAATGTGGAGTGAGAGGGAGAGTGGAGTGAGAGGGTTAACCCTCTCACTCCACATTAACCCTCTCACACCACTCTCCCCTCACTTCACTCTCCCCCTCACTTCACATTAACCCTCTCACTCCACTCTCCCCCTCACTCCACATTAACTCCCTCACTCCACTCTCCCTCTCACTCCACATTAACCCTCTCACTCCACTCTCCCCTCACTCCACATTAATCCTCTCACTCACTCCACATTAACTCACTCACTCCACTCTCCCTCCCACTCTACATTAATGTGGAGTGAGAGGGAGAGTGGAGTGAGAGGGAGAGTGGAGTGAGAGGGTTAATGTGGAGTGAGTGGGAGAGTGGAGTGAGAGGGAGAGTGGAGTGAGAGGGAGAGTGGAGTGAGAGGGTTAATGTGGAGTGAGGGGGAGAGTGGAGTGAGGGGGAGAGTAGAGTGAGGGGGTTAATGTGGAGCGAGAGTGGAGTGAGGGGGTGAATGTGGAGTGAGGGGGGGAGTGGAGTGAGAGTGTTAATGTGGAGTGAGGGGGGAGTGGAGTGAGGGGGTTAATGTGGAGTAAGGGGGTTAATGTGGAGTGAGGGGGTTAATGTGGAGTGAGGGGGGGAGTGGAGTGAGAGGGTGGAGTGAGTGGGAGAGTGGAGTGAGAGGGTTAATGTGGAATGAGAGTGGAGTGAGAGTGTTAATGTGGAGTGAAGTGAGAGGGGAGCCATGAGTCTCTGCGCACGCCTCTGAGCCCGTGCCGCGTGGCTCCGCGCAGCGATGGAGACTTCCTCCCCCGCTCCGCCACGAAATTCTCCTCCTTCGCCATCGCAGAGTTTCGCCGTGGACATCCCATCCGCTCTCCTCGCTCTCTTCCTCAGCTACCACGTGTGCAGTCGCGTGCCGCGCTGTGCGCTCCCAGGCATTGCCTCCCCCCCCCACTAACTAAACCCCTATCGAGTTTTACTTTTTGTCGTGTAACTCTTTGTCGTTGCGACGATCATTACGCGCGTGCCCCCGACTTGACGGCGGTGAAAAAGGGAGCTTCACCGCTCAGCGGATACCTCCTCCTGCCGCACCATCAATTAACATTTGGACTACATTGTCTTACGGTTGTTATCGTTCGACTTGCATCCCGCTGGGATTTTTGCGCACAGCGTCGAAATGCGGTGTTTTTTTCTGGAAGACTTTGCCGGTTTTTTTTCCAGGATTCTTTTCTGCTGCGCGTGGTCACTTTAAGATGTTTTCTTGTTCATGTTTTTGTTTTGTTGCGGTTGCACCCGAGTCAAGAGCCGCGTGGCTCACAGGGTTATACCTAATGAATGAAACTCAAACTGAAAACTGAGTCTGATTCTTAAAACACGCGCTCGCTCAGTTTAACACGTAGCATGCTTTCGCGACCAATATTATTCAGAATCAACGTTTTTGGGTTTAGATCGCGTTATTTATAAATGTGCCGTAACCCTCCACCACCCGACACGGCCAATCAGTAAAAAAGTGTCACGTTGACAAAAGACAAAATTGTAAATGTTGTGGTTTCACGCTTCAACACACCGGTGTGGGGGCTAAAGCAGTGAACTATTTGTCTTTTGTCACTTTTTTACTGATTGGCCGTGTCGGGTGGTGGAGGGTTACGACACATTTATAAATAACGCGATGTAACCCAAAAACACCGCTCGCTCACTTGCAGTTGCCCCCAGCAGCGGCAGCAGCAGCCACCACCCCACTTGCCGTGCCGTGAGACGGCGTCCGCCGTGGGAGAGACGAAGTCTGCGCTGCTCCAGCAAAGTCCCCCCCCCCACACCTCCCTCCCATCGCCCCGGCCTCTGTTGCAGAGGTCGCAAACGGGTTTTGATTCCTTACCCGTACCCGTACCCGGCCGTACCCGTACCCTACCCGTACCCGGCCGGGTACGGGAGGGTATGGGTTTTGGGTACCTGATTGCGACCTCTGGGATGAAGCCATGTTGCAGGCGCGGGTGGGTTGATTCTAGGAACTTGAATTGTGAGAAGAGACAAGACGTTGGGAAATGAGTGACAAAAAGTTACTCACCAGTGACTCACGGCCTACCCGTACCCGGCCGCACCAGGGTCGCAAACGGGTACCCGTACCCGGCCGGGTACGGATAGCCGGGTTTCAGGTAGGGTACGGGTATCGGGTACCCGGTTGCGACCTCTGCTCTGTTGGTACGGACGGTGCCACGCGGGGTCGGCGTTTTGCGCTTCCCAGAGCGCAGCGCGCGCGTGCCCCCTGCTGTTAGCAGCCGGGTTGCTTTCCCCTGGCAGTGAACTGTGTGTACAGAGTGCGAACTTTCAGAGATACGAACAAACCTGGTCCCAATGTCCAGTTGCCTGTTCGGAGCGAGAGTCGTAAGTTCAACCGCCGCGCAATAGATGGCGGTGGTGGCATCTACATCTGTAGAACGTGAAGAACCAGTGGCATCTACATCTGCAGAACGTGAAGAACCAGTGACATCTAAATCTGCAAAACGTGAAGAACCAGTGGCATCTACATCTGCAGAACATGAAGAACCAGTGGCATCTGCATCTGCAGAACGTGAAGAACCAGTGACATCTACATCTACAGAACATAAAAAACCAGTGGCATCTACATCTGCAGAACGTGAAGAACCAATGGCATCTACATCTGCAGAACGTGAAGAACCAATGGCATCTACATCTGCAGAACGTGAAGAACCAGTGGCATCTACATCTATAGAACATGAAGAACCAGTGACATCTACATCTGCAGAAATTATACAACTTTGAAAACCATTCCCCGTGTTTAGTGTACACGCCGTACAACATGTTTGGAATCGACAGGAGTAAATTTTGACTTACAAACAAATCGACTTACGAACAGACCTCTGCAACCTAACTCATTCGTAAGCAAAGGAGTCAATGGACACAATATGGAGTTCATAAGCTGGAAACACAGTAATCTGCTGAATATTTTAATGCCCCCCCCCCCCATACACACACAAACACTCACTCCCAGCACGAGGCTGACTTGTTACATCTCGCGGAGGAGCGCTCAGCTGGACAAAATAGTGCCGCGGTTCAATTTGCAAGCGAGAGTTCGCGTCTTAAGCTGATGCCAAATTTCTTTTTTTTCACGGAAGCTGGTTCAGACGTCGGGTGTTCGTAAACCAATCGTTCGTAAGTTGGGGATTCCTAAGTCGGGTATTTGTAAGTCGGGAGTTCACAAGTTGATGCCTGCATGCACATGAGTAAAACCTATTCTTATTTTTTCAGCATCTTGGACACTGGCAAAAAGGTGCCAAATATATAACAGCTCGACCCGAGCTATAAGTGTTGTGAAACTTGTGTAGTGAGCGTCTTCCAAGACACGACCTAACCAACATGGCAACTCGCTAAATAACCTAACCAACAGCCCCATCGTCAGCGTCTAACTATATAGCTGGCTGACTAATATAGCGACGACGATGATGGGAGTCGTACAGCGGATCGGCCACGCGGCCGGACGATGAAGAAGAGATGGCGGCGAAGACAACGACGGCAGCCAGGACCCGGACCCCACGACAGCCCCAAACTTCCGGTCCCGTCCCCCCTTATATACTCCTCGGCGTGGCCAGGCAGAGCCTCCGGCCGCAACCCCTTCTAGAACCTTCGAGCAGGTTCCCAGAGCTTCCCGACTGACCTCGCCTTTAACCTTTAGCCCAGCTACGCCCTCCTTATAGTTGGTTATTATCTCACGCACCCATACCCGTGATTATCCCTCCTGGCCAACAGATGGCACCCTGTCATTACACTTGCATTGTCTTTGTGCTGTTCGCCTATTAGCGTTGTTCTCTGGTCTAACACTGGTGGTGAGACTAGGCCACAAAGAAGGCTGTCGTCTCTGGTGTCGGCCAATCAGTTTCAAGGACAATGCATCTACAGGGTGTTTCAAAAGGCTGGACCCAATTTCAGAGATATGGCGATTTCAAATCGGGTCCATCTTTTTGAAACACCCTGTATTATTATCATGGCGTGTTTGTTTGCATGCTTTGCCACGAGTTTGTGTGGTTAATGCAGACGGTATATACGCGGTGTTTGAATATCTTAAAAACAGGCTGAGAGTGAGCACCACACTCTGGCTCAAACTTCTTAGACAGCAAAGATTGCAAATGCTGCGTTTCAAGTCGAATTGCTTCAAGGAAGCGACAACTCGAGATACCAACCGGGGTAGAGTCTCTTTTGCACGAGGGATCAGGGTCAACGACGTCACAAAAATCATGAGAAATAAAATACAAAAGTGTCACATCGATGATCCACCACGACCCCCGATCGCTGCTCCTGACGCAGTTATCTGCTGGCCTGACCACCTGAATGTGAGTCGCAACTGCTGCTGCTGCATCTACATCAGCGGCTGCTGCTGCTGCATCTACATCAGCGGCCACACTAAAGGAGGTGGGGCCAGAAAGACGTGGCAACTGTTTGTGGAGATTGGCGCAAGACAGAGAGGAACATGGAACAGTAAACAATGGCGACATGTGCAGTGGACAGCTGCCCACGGACCGTGATTATGATGTTGTAGGGTTAGAGGTTAGGGTTCAGGATAAGGGTTACCTTCTGGTTGTGGGTTTAGGGTTAATAGGGTTGAGGGTTTAGGGTTAGGGGCCGTCCATAAATAACGTCACGCGATTTTGGACGATTTTTGACCCCCCCCCCCCTCTAGTCACACGGCGTCACAAAAAGTCAGACCCCCTTCAAATATGACGTCACAAAGCTCTGCCCCCCACCCAAAAAAAATAAAACACGCTTCAAATCGCTTTAAACTATTGTCATTGTAGTGCGTATTTAATGTGGCGCTGCTCTGATGTTGTAGGAGAAGACATTTATTCACAAGTCTATTTAATTAAGTAGAACGTGTTGTCTGTATTTATTTAAAGTTGCGCATTTTGATGTGCGTCACATTTCTCAAACCCCCCTCGTCACACATCTGACCCCCCCCAGGTGCGTGACGTCATTTATGGACGGCCCCTTAGTGCTGTAGGGTTGCAGTGGATGTGCACACGAGGTTCTACACAAGTCACGTGATGCCCTCTCGTGGACAAACGGGCAACTGCAGCCGCTGCCCTGCATGGAACAAAACTGGGCAGACGACAGCCTCCACATGTACCCTGTCGAGCGTGGGTTCTTACCCCTCCTCCTCCTCCTCACCATCATCCCATCAGCCGCACAACCATCTCAGGGTGCCTCTCATCAGCAGCGCTGATTCAACACAAGCAACGCGGCGGGACAAGCTTCGGCATTCGGCGTCTCATCAGCGGTCAGATACCACTGGTTCTTCACGTTTTGCAGGTGTAGATGCCACTGGTTCTTCACGTTTTGCAGGTGTAGATGCCACTGGTTCTTCACGTTTTGCAGATGTAGATGTCACTGGTTCTTCACGTTCTACAGATGTAGATGCCACTGGTTCTTCACGTTCTACAGATGTAGATGCCACTGGTTCTTCACGTTCTGCAGATGTAGATGCCACTGGTTCTTTACGTTTTGCAGATGTAGATGCCACTGGTTCTTCACGTTCTACAGATGTAGATGCCACTGGTTCTTCACGTTCTACAGATGTAGATGCCACTGGTTCTTCACGTTCTGCAGATGTAGATGTCACTGGTTCTTCACGTTCTGTAAATGTAGATGCCACTGGTTCTTCACGTTCTGTAGATGTAGATGCCACTAGTTCTTCACGTTCTGTAGATATCGATGCTAATTCCCTCTGGTGCTCGTGTTTTCTCTCTACTCTCTTGAAAATTTACCAAGAGCAGTCTGCACAATTGCTCTCTTCTTCTATTCATGAATCAACTCGTACCAGGCAATAGCGTCATGAACAGCTGCAACTGGACATACGGACAGCTTTGTTCGTAAGTCGAATGTCCGTAAGTAGAGGAGTCCCTGTGATATCGATCGCCCCTTTTGCTTGCGCAGCGTGTGGCGGTAGAGAGGTCACCGTGACACTTCAAGTGACATCAACGACGGAGATCGTCATGGGAGAACACGACTGTGTAGGAACTCCAAAACGCATTGGCTCGGGCTTGCAATGCACGTGCATTGGCTGCGCAGATGATTGGGGCAAGCGGGTTGGCACGAACTAAGTTTTAACGACATCGACACTCGTCAACAACCCATGACTCTTAAAAAAAAGAACAACGCGTACTATAGGCAACGTTTCGGGGAACGACCTTCCCGCACCGAGTTGCTGGGGGACGTCCCCCGCGACCTCTGGTGGTGGAGGTGGGAATGGGACCTCGGATCCTGGGAGGGAGGAATCGCCAGTTAAATGACCTAACCAACATGGCCACTCGCTAAATGAGCTAACCAACATGGCCACTCGCTAAATGAGCTAACCAACATGGTCACTCGCTAAATGAGCTAACCAACATGGCCACTCGCTAAATGACCTAACCAACATGGCCACTCGCTAAATGACCTAATCAACATGGCCACTCGCTAAATGACCTAACCAACATGGCCACTCGCTAAAATACCTAACCAACATGGTCACTCGCTAAATGACCTAATCAACATGGCCACTCGCTAAATGACCTAACCAACATGGCCACTCGCTAAATGACCTAACCAACATGGCCACTCGCTAAATGACCTAACCAACATGGCCACTCGCTAAATGACCTAACCAACATGGCCACTCGCTAAATGACCTAATCAACATGGCCACTCGCTAAATGACCTAACCAACATGGCCACTCGCTAAAATACCTAACCAACATGGTCACTCGCTAAATGACCTAATCAACATGGCCACTCGCTAAATGACCTAACCAACATGGCCACTCGCTAAATGACCTAACCAACATGGCCACTCGCTAAATTACCTAACCAACATGGCCACTGGCTAAATTACCTAACCAACATGGCCACTCGCTAAATGAGCTAACCTACATGGCCACTCACTAAATGAGCTAACCAACATGGCCACTCGCTAAATGACCTAACCAACATGGCCACTCGCTAAATTACCTAACCAACATGGCCACTCGCTAAATGAGCTAACCTACATGGCCACTCACTAAATGAGCTAACCAACATGGCCACTCGCTAAATGACCTAATCAACATGGCCACTCGCTAAATGACCTAACCAACATGGCCACTCGCTAAATGACCTAACCAACAAGGCCACTCGCTAAATGACCTAACCAACATGGCCACTCGCTAAATGACCTAACCAACATGGTCACTCGCTAAATGAGCTAACCAACATGGCCACTCGCTAAATGACCTAACCAACATGGCCACTCGTTAAATGACCTAACCAACATGGCCACTCGCTAAATGACCTAACCAACATGGCCACTGGCTAAATTACCTAACCAACATGGCCACTCGCTAAATGACCTTACCAACACGGCCACTCGCTAAATGACCGACCCAACAAATCCTCCCATAGACTTCAAAGTTAAAGGCTCCCGAGACAAAGGAGACACTGGGAGACAGAGTCACCGGGAGACAGACAGAGTCACCGGGAGACAGACAGAGACACGGTCTAAAAGTCTTCTACACGTGCACGCGAAGGCTTGTCTTGAGTGATTTTCTGCAAATCGCGTTTTAAAATGTGCATATCACCCTTGGACACGGGCGGCTTCCGTAAATCCTACATGACGGCAAGGTCAAACACCCCCCCCCATGACCCCTTCCCCTCAAGTTTAGCCCCGCCCTCTCCTACTAAGCCCCGCCCTTTATATTGCCCCCCCCACCCTCGCTATCAGGCCCCGCCCTCACACTTTCAGCCCCCCCCCCCGCCTCTCTTCTCTTGGCCCCGCCTATCAACTTGTCGCCCCCCCCCACCGCCAACCTCCCAGTGGGGAAGTCTCCGCCCACTTCCCAACCAAGCTCCGCCCCCTCAAATTGGCCACGCCCTCCTCATGAATATGCAAATTTAGACCCGCCCACTCTGCCGCGTGGCTCCGCCCACCACACTTCCGCGAGGCCTGGTCGCGGCTAGTCCCACGGCGGGAGCGACTTAACAACAACAACAACGGCAACAACATCAACAACAACAACGTCGCATTCGTTCACACCGCAAGGGCGATGGGGGACGAGGCTCTGTTCGAGTTCCTTCACATGGAGGTCGTCTCCTACGTGTGTCACTCAGTGGCGCAAGACGACGCGGTGAGCTGAGCACTCGGTGACACCACCACAGTGACACCACCACCACAGTGACACCACCACCACCACAGTGACACCACCACAACCACAGTGACACCACCACCACCACAGTGACACCACCACCACCACCACAGTGACACCACCACCACCACAGTGACACCACCACCACCACCACAGTGACACCACCACCACCACCACAGTGACACCACCACCACCACAGTGACACCACCACCACCACCACAGTGACACCACCACCACCACAGTGACACCACCACCACCACCACAGTGACACCACCACCACCACAGTGACACCACCACCACAGTGACACCACCACCACCACCACAGTGACACCACCACCACCACAGTCACACCACCACCACAGTGACACCACCACCACAGTGACACCACCACCACAGTGACACCACCACCACCACCACAGTGACACCACCACCACCACCACCACCACAGTGACACCACCACCACCACAGTCACACCCACCACCACCACAGTGACACCACCACCACAGTGACACCACCACCACAGTGACACCACCACCACCACAGTGACACCACCACCACCACAGTGACACCACCACCACCACAGTCACACCACCACCACAGTGACACCACCACCACAGTGACACCACCACCACAGTGACACCACCACCACCACAGTGACACCACCAACACCACAGTGACACCACCACCACCACAGTGACACCACCACCACAGTGACACCACCACCACAGTGACACCACCACCACCACCACCACCACAGTGACACCACCACCACCACCACCACAGTGACACCACCACCACCAACAGTCACACCACCACCACAGTGACACCACCACCACAGTGACACCACCACCACAGTGACACCACCACCACCACAGTGACACCACCACCACCACCACAGTGACACCACCACCACCACAGTGACACCACCACCACAGTGATACCACCACCACAGTGACACCACCAACACCACAGTGACACCACCACCACCACAGTGACACCACCACCACCACAGTGACACCACCACCACCACAGTGACACCACCACCACAGTGACACCACCACCACAGTCACACCACCACCACAGTGACACCACCACCACAGTGACACCACCACCACAGCGACACCACCACCACAGTGACAACCACCACCACCACCACCACAGTGACACCACCACCACAATGACACCACCACCACAGTGACACCACCACCACCACAGTGACACCACCACCACCACAGTGACACCACCACCACAATGACACCACCACCACAGTGACACCACCACCACCACCACAGTGACACCACCAACACCACAGTGACACCACCACCACCACCACAGTGACACCACCACCACCACCACAGTGACACCACCACCACAGTGACACCACCACCACCACAGTGACACCACCACCACAGTGACACCACCACCACCACCACAGTGACACCACCAACCCACCACCACCACAGTGACACCACCACCACCACAGTGACACCACCACCACCACCACCACAGTGACACCACCACCACCACAGTGACACCACCACCACAGTGACACCACCACCACCACCACAGTGACACCACCACCACAGTGACACCACCAACACCACCACCACCACCACAGTGACACAACCACAGTGACACCACAACCACAGTGACACCACCACCAACACCACCACCACCACCACAGTGACACCACCACCACCACAGTGACACCACCACCACCACAGTGACACCACCACCACCACAGTGACACCACCACAGTGACACCACCACCACAGTGACACCACCACCACAGTGACACCACCACCACCAACACCACCACCGCCACAGTGACACCACCACCACCACAGTGACACCACCACCACAGTGACACCACCACCACAGTGACACCACCACCACAGTGACACCACCACCAACACCACCACCGCCACAGTGACACCACCACCACCAACACCACCACCGCCACAGTGACACCACCACCACCACCGTGACACCACCACCACAGTGACACCACCACCACAGTGACACCACCACTACAGTGACACCACCACCAACACCACCACCGCCACAGTGACACCACCACTACCACCACCACCACTACAGTGACACCACCACCACAGTGACACCACCACCACCACCACAGTGACACCACCACCACCAACACTACCACCACCACCAACACCACCACCACAGTGACACCACCACCACCACAGTGACACCACCACCACCACCACAGTGACACCACCACCAACACTATCACCACCACCACCACCACAGTGACACCACCACAGTGACACCACCACAGTGACACCACCACAGCGAGACCACCACCACCACAGTGACACCACCACCACCACCACCACAGTGACACCACCACCACCACCACCACAGTGACACCACCACCACCACAGTGACACCACCACCACCACAGTGACACCACTACCATCACCACCACAGTGACACCACCACCACCACAGCGACACCACCACCACCACAGTGACACCACCACCACAGTGACACCACCACCACCACCACAGTGACACCACCACCACCACCACAGCGACACCACCACCACCACCACAGTGACACCACCACCACCACAGTGACACCACCACCACCACCACAGTGACACCACCACCACCACCACAGTGACACCACCACCACCACAGTGACACCACCACCACCACCACAGTGACACCACCAACACCACAGTGACACCACCACCACCACAGTGACACCACCACCACCACAGTGACACCACCAGACAGACAGAGAGTGGAGTGGAAACAACAAATAAAAAATGTAGCAGTGGACACCTCCCAGGGGCTATGGATCGTGGTGATGATGATGATGTTACCTGCCCTACCTTATTAAGCGCCAATGCAGACATTATTGGTCACCCTATGTCCTTTTAAATCTCAACGTTCATCTTACAAAGTCCCATCACAAGAGAGAAACAACACAAATAGACAACATAGTCTTCGTGTTGTCTGTATTGACACGGCCGCACGCTGCCGTATGGACCTGAACTCAATTTCCCCGCTGAAGAATTCGGGGTGAATCGTATGGAATGGAAGGCGATGACGGTGGTGGGGGTGGGTGCTGATTCACGGTGCTGTTCACATTTTGGCGTCCTCTGGTCTAACAATGTTTGAGACGAGGCTCTAAAGAAAGCTGTCTCTGGTGTGGACCAATCAGTTTCAAAGACAAATGCATCATCATATACTGTCAGACCACAAGTATCTATGGCTAATGCAGTGACATGATGCCTTGCAAAAGGTTTCAGTTTGAGTTAACATCTTAACACAACTGTTTTGTTGCCAGAACAAAGGGGAAAACCTTTTGTTATATTTTGACACTGGCAACGGAGGTCCCATGATGTATATAAATGCATCGTCAAAACCGCCAGCCATCGCCACCCGACGCAGCCCATTCAAGCGAGGTGCGTCACGTGAGATCCAATCTCTCATCACTTGACGCGAGAAGACGTCTGCGTTGATGCCCTCTTCATCCGTGCAATCCTCGTTGGCAAATCTGCGCTTCGCTACTTTGCGAACCTCTAATTGCCTTTCAACTATCCCAAGAACGAGGATCGGAATGGGCGACACAAATCCTTCGCCATTGCAGCAGCGCCGACAAAGATTTGGGAACGACGACCGCACTGGCAACAGCAACCTTGCTTCCTCCCTTGACATCGCAAATCTTCCGCCTCGAAAACATTCAAAGCGGAAGATTCTTGCTGGAGGACTGCAGCCAAATTTGCAAAATGTGATTTAATGTATTGAGAGTTCAGTGTTAATGCACAATTTACATTGAGGCTTTACTCTGTGTGTTTGTCTTGGTGTGGTCTGTGGCTGCTGTTGTTTTACTGCCCTTTCAGAGGCTTGGTAATCGATGCAATTTGAACTTATATGCTGTATTTCTTTATTAAAGGGGTGCCAGGGTAAACATGAGGTTCGGGGTTCGATCCCGACCCTGACGCCTGCTGTATATGTGGAGTTTGCATGGTGGTGAGATGTTAACTACCTCGCCAGGTATGCAGGAAGTCAGGGGTTTGATCCCGACCCTTACGCCTGCTGTATATTTGGAGTTTGCATGGTGGTGAGATGATAACTACCTCGCCCGGTATGCAGGAAGTCAGGGGTTTGATCCCGACCCTTACGCCTGCTGTATATTTGGAGTTTGCATGGTGGTGAGATGATAACTACCTCGCCCGGTATGCAGGAAGTCGTGGGGTTTGATCCCGACCCCGACGCCTGCTCTATATTTGGAGTTTGCGTTTCTCTCTATTTCTCTCTCCCCGCGTGGTCACGTGGTATTTTTTCTCCGGGTCCTCCGGTTTTTCCTTCCACATTTATTTTGCTGCTATAAATGTCCAAATGATGAAGCCACTTTGTTGAGCTATCATTTGTGGCCAGGTCGCTTCTGAAAAATAAGTGAATACCTCCGTGGGCTTTGCCTGGTAGGATGGGAATGGTTTAGTTGTTGTATTTGTTTGTGTTTGGGGTGATTTATTTTCTTGTTCTTTTCACTCATATCTTGTTATTGTTGTAACATTCTTACCCCGTGCCCTTACTCCCCATTCATAGCTAATCAGATTCCTCCTACTGCAGTATAAATACATTTATTTTGATTCTGATGATGCAAACTCCAAATATACAGAAGACATCGTCAGGGTCGGGATCGAACCCATGACCTCGTGTATGTGAGGCAAGGTGGTTAACATCTCCCCACATCGGCCGCCCCCTCCCCTTCATAGCTCATCGGATTCCTCCTGCAGTACAAATAAAATTGATTCTGATTCCGGTTCGCTGATCCTTGCAGGAGAATGGGAAAGTCACGGCCAAGTTGGAGAACTTGGGATACAGAGGGGGACAAGGTCTGGTGGAGAGGTGAGAGATTGAAACGGTTTGTGTGGTTTTGGTTGCCGGCGGCGGTGTGGGTGACCCCCCCCCCCCCCCATCGGACACGCGCTCTGTCATCGTCAAGGACTGCTCGGTCGGCTCTTTGTGATTGCACGGAGACATCGTCAGCGACCAGACGAGACTGGATCATTGTCTAGGGAGCCCATTAAGAGAGCGGTCCGTCATTTGTCTAGAGCGGTGGTTGCTGACCAGGCGAGGGAATTAACACATTCCTGCGGAGGGAGCGGGTAGGAACGTTGGGTTGCTCGGTCAATGGCCAGGGTCAATGGCGGCATGGTGTATTCCGCAAATATGCCCGACTGTGAGGGCGGGCACAAGCCGGCGTGAGTAGGTTAAACGTCGAGTTTTATAAGGGCACCACGGGGTGACCAGCCCCTCCCCACCCAGCCCCACCCCTCCCACTCCCCTCCCAGCCCCACCCTCCCCACCCTCCTCACCCAGCCCCACCCAGCCCCTCCCCACCCTCCCCTCTCCAACCAGCCCCACCCCTCCCATTTTTGGATGCACGACGGACGGACGGACACAATAATCCCCTGTGGGCTAGTGGAACCAGGTGGTTCCTACCAGTAACATCCTCTAGCCACCGTGACGATACTCCACTCTCCTTCCCGTGGTGGAGCCATGGCTACAAGAGTTGCCCTCCAACCCTCCCTCCCAACCTGGGGTTACGCAGACCCCTGGGTAGGGCACGTTGCAATGTCCCAGAGGGGTACGCGAGGTGATTTATAAATGTGTGAAATTATGTCCTATACATGAGTGTCGTTGGTGAATGATCACGTTGTATTAATCTGCCGATATAAAATAACTAAGGTAAAATGTTAATCAATACGGTAACCTTGAACCATATAAAAGACCTCCCCAATCTCATTGATTGTAAACAATGTTGGTTTGCAAGAGTAACCAGTGAGTGTGAACTTATTACGTCACACAGAGCAGAGCGTCCGTTGATTTTAGTTTTTTATTCACTCGCATTTCCTGGCAGCTAGTTAGGGATAGCCTCAGAAAATGGACAATTGCCCATAGACTCAACACTGCCCATAGACTCAACACTGCCCATAGACTCAACACTGCCCATAGATTTAACACTGCCCATAGACTCACCACTGCCCATAGACTCAACACTGCCCATAGATTCAACACTGCCCATAGACTCACCACTGCCCATAGACTCAACACTTGCCCATAGACCCAACACTGCCCATAGACTCACCACTGCCCATAGACTCAACACTTGCCCATAGACCCAACACTGCCCATAGACTCAACACTGCCCATAGACTCAACACTGCCCATAGTCTCAACACTGCCCATAGACTAAACACTGCCCATATAATCAACACTGCCCATAGTCTCAACACTGCCATAGACTCAACACTGCCCATAGACTCACACTGCCCATATACTCAACACTGCCCATAGACTCAACACTGCCCATTTACTCAACACTGCCCATAGACTCAACACTTGCCCATAGACTCAACACTTGCCCATAGACCCAACACTGCCCATAGACTCACCACTGCCCATAGACTCAACACTTGCCCATAGACCCAACACTGCCCATAGACTCAACACTGCCCATAGACTCAACACTGCCCATAGTCTCAAGACTGCCCATAGACTCAACACTGCCCATAGTCTCAACACTGCCCATAGTCTCAACACTGCCCATAGACTCAACACTGCCCATAGACTCAACACTGCCCATAGTCTCAACACTGCCCATAGACTCAACACTGCCCATAGTCTCAACATTTGCCCATAGACTCAACACTACCCATAGACTCAACACTGCCCATAGACTCAACACTGCCCATAGTCTCAACACTGCCCATAGACTCAACACTACCAATTAACTAACACTACCCATAAACTCAACACTGCCCATAGACTCAACACTGCCCATAGACTCAACACTGCCCATAGTCTCAACACTGCCCATAGACTCAACACTACCAATTAACTAACACTACCCATAAACTCAACACTGCCCATAGACTCAACACTGCCCATAGTCTCAACACTGCCCATAGTCTCAACACTGCCCATAGTCTCAACACTGCCCATAGACTTAACACTGCCCATAGACGCAACACTGCCCATAGACTCAACACTGCCCATAGACTCAGCACTGCCCATAGACTCAACACTGCCCATAGACTCAACACTGTGTGGGGGGCGGTAGTGTAGCGGTTATCGCTACGCTGCGCTACGATCTCGGCGACCCGAGTTCGATTCCCGCTCACGGACCAACACCGGTGACGATTATCTCAACCGGTCCTGAGTCTCCCCGAGGTCGACTCAACCTCAAATGAATAACCTAGTTCGGTTTGTAAACATTGCCACTAGGGAGACAAAGGCGGCCGGGCGTGGTGCTGGCCACCCACTCCTTCGTGTGCCGTGCCGGCCTTCATAGGTGCTGCTCGCAAACAGCACTTGCCCCAACGAGTCTGTTAAGGCTATACGGTGGATCTTTATCTTTGTGTGAGTAAGTGTGTGTGTCTGCATTAGACTTAATCCCAGCTGATCTAGCATGGCTGTTGTTACAGCAGGATTATTGCTTTGTGTGCGTACGTGTCCCTGTGCGTGTCAGTCCGTGTGTCCCTGTGTGTGTGTGTCCATGCCGCTCGCTAACCACACTTGCCCCAACAGTCTGTTAAGGCTACACGGGGGGGGGGGGGAACTTTGCCTTTGCGTCAGGTTTACCCGCGACAGCCCCCGCTTCAAGGATGAGCTCGACGTGATGAAGTTCATCTGCAAGGACTTCTGGACGAGCGTCTTCAAGAAGCAGATCGACAACCTGCGGACCAACCACCAGGTGTCCCCACGCGCACGCTGCAGCTGTGCACACTGACTAACGCGTTTCCTTAGAGCTGCTGCTTGTTGTTGTTGTGTTTAGTTTGTTGACCTTCTCCTCCCCCGCACCTCCGCTTAGCGCGGTTGGCTACCTACGGCGCGAAAGAAGTTTAACACACGTACACTGCATTACACACTACAATACACACTACACGAGACATTGCAATACACTATACACTACGCTACACACCACACTCCGAAACATCACAATATACCAAGATGAAAACTCTTTTCTCTAGAGCTGCTTTGTGTGTTTAGTTTGTTGTCCTTCTCCCCGCACCTCCGATTAGCACGTTTGGCTACGTACGGCGTGAAAGAAATTCAACATACGTACGCACATACATACCACGTCGCTTGTGCCAGGCTAGGTGCACTTTGAGGCCGTCGCGTGAAGTGTGGAAGGCTCTCGCTGCTGGGCAGCAGGAGGTCACGGGGGACCGAGGCAGGTGCCATGGGTTGGCTAACTTGAGATGACTGGCCGATGCACCACCTGTGCCCCCCCCCCCGTTTTGCCACCTCGCTGCATCATCTCAACCCTTTCCCCCTTTCCGAGGCGTCTGCGAGTTGCAGGGTGGGATGGTCGCGTTCGCCGCCGCATCTCGGAACGCGCGAGCGGGTTCGGCGTTAATCGTATTTAGAGAGGCTTGGTCGTAGCGCCGTTCATTATCAAGACGCTGTACTCACCGTTGTAGAATTGCAGTGGACGCCTACAGGAATTTCTGCCCATGGAGTTTGATGATGATGACGATGAAGACGATCTACTCACCGCAGAGAACCGTAGCGTCACGACCGCCAGCACTCGACCATAGCCGGCACCAACACTGTGCCACTCGCCCTCCTGCATGGCCTTGCGGGAGCCTCGGTAGCGATAAAAGTAATGAGATTTTTGTTCTCACGGTTCCGTTCCGATGATGCTCCATCACTTGTTTAAAATGCGTGGCACTGTTGGTGTCTGTGTGTAAGTCCGTTACAAGGGGTAGTGTAGCGGTGAGCGCGCTGCGCTATGAACCCGGCGACCCGAGTTTGATTTCCGCTCACGGCCAAGACCAGTGATGATTATCTTAACCGGGCCTGGGCCTTTCCCCCTAGGTCGACTCGGCCTTAAATGGGTACTTGGTGAGACGTGGACACGTCACCACTAGGGAGACAAAGACGGCCGGGCGTGGTGCTGGCCCCCCACCTCCTTCGTGTGCCGTGCCGCCCTTCATAGGTGCTGCTCGCTAACAGCACTTGCCCCAACAGTCTAAGGCTACACGGGGGACCTTTGTCTTCGTAATTATTATCACTGCACTTGCTTACGCACGGAAAGCCGAGGGGAGGTGATTGGTGCTGCTGTGTGAAATAGCGCGGTTGGCTTTACGTACGGTGCGAAAGAAGTTCAACGTGCGTGTGTGTGTGCCCATAGACTCACACTACCCATAGACTCACACTGCCCATAGACTCACACTGCCCATAGACTCACACTGCCCATAGACTCAACACTGCCCATAGACTCACACTACCCATAGACTCACACTGCCCATAGACTCACACTGCCCATAGACTCACACTGCCCATAGACTCAACACTGCCCATAGACTCACACTACCCATAGACTCACACTGCCCATAGACTCACACTACCCATAGACTCACACTACCCATAGACTCACACTGCCCATAGACTCACACTACCCATAGACTCACACTGCCCATAGACTCACACTACCCATAGACTCACACTACCCATAGACTCACACTGCCCATAGACTCACACTACCCATAGACTCACACTACCCATAGACTCACACTGCCCATAGACTCACACTACCCATAGACTCACACTACCCATAGACTCACACTGCCCATAGACTCAACACTGCCCATAGACTCGAGCACTGCCCGTAGACTCAACACTGCTCATAGACTCAACACTGCCCATAGACTCAACACTGCCCATAGACTCAACACTACCCATAGACTCACACTACCCATAGACTCACACTGCCCATAGACTCAACACTGCCCATAGACTGAGCACTGCCCGTAGACTCAGCACTGCCCATAGACTCAACACTGCCCGTAGACTCAACACTGCCCATAGACTCAACACTGCCCGTAGACTCAACACTGCCCGTAGACTCAACACTACCCATAGACTCAACACTGCCCATAGACTCAGCACTGCCCGTAGACTCAACACTACCCATAGACTCAGCACTGCCCATAGGCTTAACACTGCCCGTAGACTCAACACTGCCCATAGACTCAACACTGCCTCTGCACATGAAGCAGTCCCCCTCCTTATCCTCCTTCCGTTCTCCCTAAGCCTCACCGCCTCTTCCCTTCCTCTTCCCCTCCACTGCGTCCCGTCCCTCCCCTGTAGCCCCTTCTGTGCCCCCCCCCCCCCCCCCCCCCGTGTGCCCTCTGTCACGCTCACTCGCTCACTCACTCCTCGGCGCTTGCACCGCCCTTGGCGTCCAAATCACTCGAGTGACGTTCCTTACCGCTTTTAAACTCCATTGCAGAGCCTCTTGAGCTGCGAAAGTGCGCTCTATGACTAATTGTGTAAAATGACTTAGGACCCTAACGGCAGCTGTGAGCAATTCCCCGCACCTCCGTTTCGCGCGGTTGGCTACGTACGGTGCGATAGAAGTTCAACGCCAGCGCCCCCCATTCGCCACTCAAGTGACGACTTCCGACGTCACCCGCGCCGCGCCTGTGCCAGGCTAGGTGCACTTTGAGGCCACGCGAAGTGTCGAAGGCTCGCTGCTCGCAGGAGGAGATCCACGGGACAGACCCAGCATGTGGCATGGGTGTTGACCGACTGAGACGACTGGCAGATGCACCTATGATCCCCCGTGTAGCCTTAACAGACTGTTGGGGCAAGTGCTGTTAGCGAGCACCTACGAAGGCCGGCACGGCGCAACGAGGGGGTGGGTGGCCAGCACCACGCCCGGGCCGCCTTTGTCTCCCCAGTGGCGATGTTGCTACGCGCCGTACCAGGTAACACATTTGAGGCTGAGTCGACCTAGGGGAGGCCCAGGACCCGTTCGGATAATCGTCACCGGTGTTGGCCTTGAGCGGAAATCGAAGTCGGGTCGCCAGGTTCATAGCGCAGCGCGCTAACCGCTACACCACCGCTTCCCACTTACACACAAACATCAAAAGATCCCCCATATAGCCTGTAGCAGACTGTAGGGGCAAGTGCTGTTAGCTAGCAACCGATGAAGGCCGGCACGGCACACGAGGGGGTGGGTGGCCAGCACCACGCCCGGCCGCCTTTGTCTCCCCAGTGGCGATGTTTACGTGCCGCACCAGGTTACTAATTTGAGGCCGAGTCGACCTAGGGGAGGCGCAGGACCGGCCCGGATAGATAATCGTCACCGGTGTTTGGTGTCCGTGAAGCGGGATTCGAACTCGGGGTGGCCGCGTTCGCTGCGCTAACCGCCACTACACTACCGCTACCTACCACCCGCCAATGCACCTACCCACATAGCGGTTAGTCGGGCGGGCAGTTGCGGGAGCTGCACCTTTAGCCGCGTTACGGTCGCCCGCCTCTCCAAGCGTCACCTTCCAAAATCCATGGCAAAAAAAAGGTCACGGAGGCTGGGCCGTTCCAGGGTGGATTAGGGGTTAGTCCCGTCGGGTGGCGTGCAAATATTGAAAAATACCACAGCAATCATAATCTCCACCACCCACCCACCCACCTTTCTCATTCAATAATTCTGGGCATCATTAAAAAGTAATAATAATAATATAAAAATTTGTGATTGTCGCAGAAGTAATGAGTTTTTCTGCCGCGATCCAATTCTGCTCGGGCGGTGCTGCAGAGGTCTCCCGCATTAATCCCAGCTGATCTCGCCGTGGCTGTTGTTACAGTGGTTGTTATTGTTTTGTTTGTCTGCGTGTGTGTGTGTGAGTGTGTGAGACGGAGGGAGGGTGGGCGGGCACGCGCGCGCGTGTGTAGAGAGCGTGTGTGAGAGAGCGTGTGTGTGTGTGAGAGAGCGTGTGTGTGTGTGAGAGAGCGTGTGTGTGTGTGAGAGTGTGTGTGTGAGAGTGTGTGTGTGAGAGAGAGTGTGTGTGTGAGAGAGAGAGAGTGTGTGAGAGTGTGTGTGTGTGTGAGAGAGAGAGCGTGTGTGTGTGTGAGTGTGTGTGAGAGTGTGTGTGTGAGAGAGAGCGTGAGAGTGTGTGTGTGTGAGAGTGTGTGTTTGAGAGAGCGTGAGAGTGTGTGTGTGTGTGAGAGTGTGTGTGTGTGAGAGTATGTGTGTGAGAGAGCGTGTGTGTGTGTGTGTGAGAGAGAGAGCGTGAGAGTGTGTGTGTGTGAGAGTGTGTGTGTGTGTGAAGGGGAGCGGTAGTGTAGCGGTTAGCGCGCTGCGCTATGAACCTGGCGACCCGGGTTCGATTCCCGCTCACGGCTAACACCAGTGACGATTTTCTGAACCGGTCCTGGGCCCCCCCTAGGTCGACTCAGCCTTAAATGAGTACCTGGTGCGGTGTGTAAACATAGCGACTGGGGAGACAAAGGCGGTGGGGCGTGGTGCTGGCCACCCACCCCCTCGTGTACCGTTCTGGCCTTCATAGGTGCTCGCTAACAGCACTTGCCCCTACAGTCTGTTAAGGCTATACGGGGGATCTTTGTGTGTGTGAGAGTGTGTGTGTGAGAGAGCGCGCTGCGCTATGAACTCGGCTACCCGAGTTCAATTCCCGCTCACGGCCAACATCAGTGACGATTACCTGAACATATCCTGGGCCTCCCCTAGGTCTACTCAGCCTCAACTGAGTACCTGGTGCAGTCATGTAAACATCGCCACTGGGGAGACAAATGCGGCCGGGCGTGGTGCCGGCCACCCACTCGCTTGTGTCCCGTGCCGGCCTTCATCAGTGCTCGCTAACAGCACTTTCCCCAGCAGTCTGTTAATCCTCTACCGGGGATCTTTGTCTTTGTGTGAGTGTGTGTGTGTTCTCCTTAATCCCAGATGATCTAGCATGGTTGCTATTACAGTGGCATTATTGTTTTGTTTGTGTGTGTGTACGCGTCCCTGTGTGTGTCTGTCCATGCGTGTCACTGTTGGTCTGTGCGTGTCCCTGTGTGTCCGTGCTTGTCCCTGTGTGTCTGTGCGTGTCCCTGTGTGTCTGTCCGTGTCCCTGTGTGTCTGTGCTTGTCCCTGTGTGTCTGTGCGTGTCCCTGTGTTTCTGTGTGTCTGTGCGTGTCCCTGTGTGTCCATGCTTGTCCCTGTGTGTCTGTGCTTGTCCCTGTGTGTCTGTGCATGCCCCTGTGTCTGTGCGTGTCCCTGTGTGTCTGTGCGTGTCCCTGTGTGTCCGTGCCCCTGTGTGTCCGTGCTTGTCCCTGTGTGTCCGTGCGTGCCCCTGTGTGTCTGTGCGTGTTCTTGTGTGTCTGTGCATGTCCCTGTGTGTCCGTGCGTGTCCCTGTGTGTCTGTGCGTGTCCCTGTGTGTCTGTGCGTGTCCCTGTGTGTCTGTGCGTGTCCCTGTGTGTCTGTGCGTGTCCCTGTGTGTCCGTGCAGGTTCCTGTGTGTGTCTGTCTGTGCGTGTCCCTGTGTGTCCGTGCTTGTCCCTGTGTGTCCGTGCTTGTCCCTGTGTGTCTGTGCGTGTCCCTGTGTGTCTGTGCGTGTCCCTGTGTGTCTGTGCGTGTCCCTGTGTGTCCGTGCGTGTCCCTGTGTGTGTCTGTCCGTGCGTGCCCTGTGTGTCTGTGCGTGTCCGTGTGTCCGTGCTTGTCGCTGTGTGTCCGTGCGTGTCCCTGTGTGTCCGTGCATGTCCCTGTGTGTGTCTGTCCATGCGTTCCTGTTGGTCTGTGAGTGTCCGTGCGTGTCCCTGTGTGTCTGTCCGTGCGTGTCCCTGTGTGTCCGTGCGCGTCCCTGTGTGTGTCTGTCCGTGCGTGTCCCTGTGTGTCTGTGCGTGTCCCTGTGTGTCCGTGCGTGTCCGTGCGTGTCCCTGTGTGTGTCTGTCCGTGCGTGCCCCTGTGTGTCTGTGCGTGTCCCTGTGTGTCCGTGCTTGTTCCTGTATGTGTCTGTCCGTGCGTGTCCCTGTGTGTCTGTGCGTGTCCCTGTGTGTCCCTGCGTGTCTGTGTGTGTCTCAGTGTTTGTCCGTGTGTGTCCCCGTGTCAAATGAGTCCCTGGTGCAGTGTGTAAAAACATCGCCACCGGGGAGACAAAGGCGGTTGGGCGTGGTGCTGGCCACCCACCCCCCGTGTGCCGTTCCGGCCTTCATAGGTGCTCCTCGCTCAGAGCACTTGCCCCAACAGTCTGTTAAGGCTACATGGGGGATCTTTGTCTGTCTGTGTGCGTGTGTCCGTGCGTGTCCGTGTGTGTCCGTGCGTGTCCGTGTGTGGCAGGGCGTCTACGTGCTACAAGACAACCGGTTTCGTATGCTGACTCAGATTTCCTGCGGGAAACAGTATCTGGAGCACGCCCCTAAGGTGAGTAAGCCTTGCTGTTGTTGTGAGCGTTGTTGTTGTGAGTATTGTTGTTAGCGCTGTTGTTGTAGTTATGAGCGTTTTTGTGGTTGTGAGCCTTTTTGTGGTTGTTGTGAGTATTGTTGTTGTAAGCGTTGTGATTGTGAGCGTTGTTGTTAGCATTGTTGTTGTGTGCCTTGTTGTTGTGAGCATTGTTGTTGTGAACGTTGTTGTAGCATTGTTGTTGTTGTGAGAATTGTTATTGTGAGCATTGTTGTTAGCATTGTTGTTATTGCGATTGTTGTTGTTGTGAGCGTTGTTATTGTTGTTGTGAGCGTTGTTCGTGTTTTCCACCTATTTACCCAGGAAGGCCTCACCGAGTCTCCGCGAGTCTCGTTTTTGCAGTTGGGGGTGTCATGCTGAAACTGCTCCTCTGACTGTTGCTGCTACTGCTGCTGCTACTGCTGCTACTTCTACTGTTGCTGCTACTGTTGCTGCTACTGTTGCTACTACTGCTGCTAATGCTGCTGCTGCTACTGTTGCTGCTATTGTTGCTGCTACTGCTGCTAATGCTGCTACTGCTACTGTTGCTGCTACTGTTGCTGCTACTGCTGCTACTACTGCTGCTAATGCTGCTACTTCTACTGCTGCTACTACTACTGCTGCTAATGCTGCTACGACTGCTACTACTGCTGCTACTGCTGCTAATGCTGCTACTGCTGCTACTACTTCTGCTGCTACTACTACTACTGCTGCTACTACTGCTGCTACTACTACTACTGCTGCTACTACTGCTGCTGCTACTACTACTGCTGCTGCTACTGCTACTACTGCTCCTACTACTGCTGTTGCTACTGCTGCTAATTCTGCTACTACTGCTGCTGCTACTACTGCTGCTCCTACTACTACTGCTGCTACTGATACTTCTACTGCTGCTGCTTCTACTACTGATACTGCTGCTACTGCTGCTGCCACTGCTGCTGCTACTACTGTGACTGCTGCTCCTACTATTGCAGCTGCTACTACTGCTATTGCTGCTCCTCCTACTACTACTGCTGCTGCTACTGCTGCTGCCGTGAGCAAACCCCACTGAGTAATTTCCAGGGGATGTACCAGCATTGTGCTGTTTGGGTCAATAGCGGTAACGCTGTACGGGTTTGAAAGTACTTTTTCTACGCGGCAAAGAACCCGGAGAAAAAGCCACGTAGATGAGAGGGAGAGAACATACAAACTACGCACAGACTCGCACAGAGACCCATAGACTCACACGGAGATCCATAGACTCACACAGGGACCCATAGACTCACACAGAGACCCATAGACTCACACAGGGACCCATAGACTCACACATACACCCTTAGACTCACCCTGTGCCCCATAGACTTATGCAGAGACCCACAGACTCGCACAGAGACCCACAGACTCGCACAGAGACCCACAGACTCACACAGGGACTGATATAGCCCACAGGGACCCATAGACTCATACAGACTCAGTCAAGGTCGGTCAGGGTCACTCAGGGCCAGGGTCACTCCAGTTCAGGGTCACTCCAGTTCAGGGTCACTCCAGTTCAGGGTTATTCAAGGTCAGGGTCATGCCAGTTCAGGGTTATTCAAGGTCAGGGTCACTCCAGTTCAGGGTCACTCAGGGTCAGGGTCACTCAGGGTCAGGGTCACCCAGCAGAGGAAGGAACGGGGGACATTGGGGGCTGCCTCTGCCCGGCAGTGGCCGACAATGACGACGACAGCAGCAGCAGCACTTGCCCCCAGCGGTCCGTGTGGGCTACACGGGGGATCTTTGTCTGTGCGTGCGTGCAGTTCCTGGCCTTCACGTGCGGCATGGTGAGAGGAGGCCTCTCCAACCTGGGCATCAACAGCGTCGTGACGGCAGAGGTGTCGGTCATGCCCGCCTGTGAGTGGCCCTCGCAAACACAAAGGTCCCCCACCCCGTGTAGCCTGCCACAGACTTGGGGGCAAGTGCCCGGCAGCAGGAGGGGGAGGGTCAGCACCAAGCCAGGCCGCCTTTGTCTTGCTATGGTGCCGACGTTTACACATCGCAGCTGTGTTTTTCATTTGAGGCTGAGTCGACCTAGGGGAGGTCTAGGACCCGGTTCAGATAATTGGCCGTGAGCGGGAATCGAACTTCGGGTCGCCTGGTTCGTAGCGCAGCGCGCTAACCACGACACTACCGCTCCCACAAAGACAAAGATCCCCCATGTAGCCTTAACAGACTGTTGGGGCAAGTGCTGTCAGCGAGCCGGCACGGCACACGAGGGGGTGGGTGGTCAGCACCACACTCGGCCGCCTTTGTCTCCCCAGTGGCCATGTTTACACACCATACCAGGTGACTCATTTGACGCTGAGTCGACCTAGGGGAGGCCCAGGACAGATAATCTTTACTGGGTGTTGGCCATGAGCGGGAATCAAACTCGGGTCGCCGGGTTCAAAGCGCAGCGCGCTAACCGCTACACCACCGCTCCTGCTGGAAGAAGACCCCGTAACCTTTATCTTCAGTTTGGGATGTGATTGTAAACACTCATTCACTGGCCAACACCTTCATACGGAGAGGACCGCAGAGCTTGGGGGATGATGGGCGGGGGCAGTTTGGCGGTGGGCATCGCTGCCGCTGCCGCTGCTGCTGCCTCGGCACTCATCTGTGGTTCCTCCTCCTGGTGCTTCTGAGTCGTCCTCTCTCTCTCTGAGTCGTCCTCTTTCTCTCTCTCTTTGAGTCGTCCTCTCTATCAGTCGTCCTCTCTTTCTTTGTGAGTCGTCCTCTCTCAGTCGTCCTCTCTGTCTCTGAGTCGTCCTCTCTCTGTCTCTCTGAGTTGTCCTCTCTCTCTGAGTCGTTCTCTTTCTCTGAGTTGTCCTCTCTCTCTGAATCGTCCTCTCTCTCTGAATCGTCCTCTCTGAATCGTCCTCTCTCTCTCTGAGTCGTCCTTTCTCTCTCTCTGAATCGTCCTTTCTCTCTGAATCGTCCTCTCTCTCTCTCTCTGAGTCATCCTTTCTCTCTCTGAGTCATCCTTTCTCTCTCTCTGGGTCGTCCTCTCTCTCTCTCTGAGTCTTCATCTCCCTGTCTCTCTGAGTCGTCCTCTCTCTGTCTCTCTGAGTCGTCCTTTCTCTCTGAGTCGTCCTTTCTCTCTCTCTGAGTCGTCCTCTCTCTGTCTCTCTGAGTCGTCCTCTCTCTGTTTCTCTGAGTCGTCCTCTCTCTCTCTCTGAGTCTTCCTCTCTCTCTAAATCGTCCTCTTTCTCTCTCTTTGAGTCATCCTTTCTCTCTCTCTGAGTCGTCTTCTCTCTCTCTGAGTCGTCCTCGGAGACAGAGAGAGACAGAGAGCAAGATACAATGAATCATCATTGATTCTATCTTTCTTGTGATGTGTGCGTGCGTGCGTCTGACAGGTAAATTTCAGGTGATGATACAGAGGTCCTGAGCGTCTGTGGATGAACATCTCCACCAGGGGAGGGAGACCCGGCGGTGCAGAGGTCAACAGGCTGAGCCGGCAACCTCCAGAGAACGCGAATTCGAATCTGGGGGAAGCTGTCTACGATTAAAGCCGGGTTCTCAAGCGCAGGGAGGTTGATGGTCTCTCAGTCCGATCGCCAATGACTCACGAAGAGACCCGTAGACTCACATAGAGACCCGTAGACTCAGGCAGAGATCCGACGACTCGCATAGAGACACATCGACTCACACAGAGACATAGAATCACACAGACACATTGAATCACTGAGTGTCCTAAAGACTCACGCAGAGACCCGTAGACTCACATAGAGACCCGTAGACTCACATAGAGACCTGTAGATTCATGCAGAGATCCGACGACTCGCATAGAGACACATCGACTCACACAGAGACATAGAATCACACAGACACATTGAATCACTCAGTGTCCTAAAGACTCACGCAGAGACCCGTAGACTCACATAGAGACCCGTAGACTCATGCAGAGATCCGTAGACTCACACAGAGACCCATAGACTCGCACAGAGACCCATAGACTCGCACAGAGACCCATAGACTCGCACAGAGACCCATAGACTCGCACAGAGACCCATAGACTCACACAGAGACCCATAGACTCACACAGAGACCCATAGACTCGCACAGAGACCCATAGACTCGCACAGAGACCCATAGACTCGCACAGAGACCCATAGACTCACACAGAGACCCATAGACTCACACAGAGACCCATCGACTCACACAGAGACCCATAGACTCACACAGAGACCCATAGACTCACACAGAGACCCATAGACTCGCACAGAGACCCATAGACTCACACAGAGACACATAGACTCACACAGAGACCCATAGACTCACACAGAGACACATAGACTCACACAGAGACCCATAGACTCACACAGAGACCCATAGACTCGCACAGAGACCCATAGACTCGCACAGAGACCCATAGACTCACACAGAGACACATAGACTCACACAGAGACCCATAGACTCACACAGAGACACATAGACTCACACAGAGACACATAGACTCACACAGAGACCCATAGACTCACACAGAGACCCATAGACTCGCACAGAGACCCATAGACTCACACAGAGACCCATAGACTCGCACAGAGACACATAGACTCGCACAGAGACCCATAGACTCACACAGAGACACATAGACTCACACAGAGACCCATAGACTCACACAGAGACACATAGACTCACACAGAGACCCATAGACTCACACAGAGACCCATAGACTCACACAGAGACACATAGACTCACACAGAGACCCATAGACTCACACAGAGACCCATAGACTCGCACAGAGACCCATAGACTCGCACAGAGACCCATAGACTCACACAGAGACACATAGACTCACACAGAGACCCATAGACTCACACAGAGACACATAGACTCACACAGAGACCCATAGACTCACACAGAGACCCATAGACTCACACAGAGACACATAGACTCACACAGAGACCCATAGACTCGCACAGAGACCCATAGACTCACACAGAGACCCATAGACTCACACAGAGACACATAGACTCACACAGAGACCCATAGACTCACACAGAGACCCATAGACTCGCACAGAGACCCATAGACTCGCACAGAGACCCATAGACTCACACAGAGACACACAGACTCACACAAAGACACATAGACTCACACAGAGACACACAGACTCACACAAAGACACATAGACTCACACAGAGACACACAGACTCACACAGAGACACACAGACTCACACAAAGACACATAGATTAACACAGTGACCCATCGACTCACGTAGACTGAGCTGTGATGAAAATGTCGCGTGTTGATGGTCACCAATGGCTGCACGCAAAATAAATTCTGTAAAATATTAAAATTTGGTTCCTCACTGAATGCTGTCGAATCTCAGCGCTGAGAATGAATTTGTTCGCTGCGATCGTCATTCGTGACGTGAGGCCACCGCGCTCATGCTGCACGGTGGAGGAGCTACCGGCCAATTACACGCCTTGCGCGAGGGGGCAACGCTCGATCCCCCCGCCCCCTTCTCCTGGCAGAGCCAGCGGGTACGGCGCTACCTCGACGCTGACCCACGGGTAGAAGGGAGTTTCACAGCACCATCTGTGTGTGAGCCACCAACCTCTCGCTGCGGCCTCCACAGCGCTGGGTTGCAGGCAGCCACGTGGAGCAGCGTGGCCACGGCCGTGATGTTTTTTTCGGGCCAAATGTCGCAGATTTCCGATGTTTCTGCTGGATCCTAAAATCTGGCCCCACATTGCAGTCGGACACCGAACGATTTCCCACCTCCGCCCACCTCCACCCACCACCACCCACCACCACCCACCACCACCCACCACCACCCACCACCACCCACCACCACCCACCTCCCCCCACCTCCACCCACCACCTCCACCCACCTCCGCCCACCACCGCCCACCTCCACCCACCTCCACCCACCACCACCCACCTCCCACCACCTCCCCCCACCTCCACCCACCACCTCCACCCACCTCCGCCCACCCACTACCGCCCAACTCCGCGCAGCTCCGCCCACCTCCACCCCCCCGCCCACCTCCACCCACCACCACCCACCACCACCCACCTCCACAAACCTCCACCCACCTCCGCCCACCTCCACCCACCACCTCCATCCACCTCCACGCACTACCTCCACCCACCTCCGTCCACCTCCACCCACCACCGCCCACCCAGCGGTCTACTCGTCTCTCCCAGTGGGGGGTTGTGCCTGGACTCACGATGCGAGTCGTCGTGTTGTCCCCGTCCCCGTGTGGGGGGTGTTTGTTCCCCACGAGCGCACTGAACATTCCCTTCTCGTTTGCACACAAACATTAATAATCGATTCCCGAGCGTAAACGTTGATTGGGGTCGATGTTCATCAATAGATATTTACAAGATACACACACCTCCCTCCCCCTACACACACACCTCGCCATACACACACACACACCTCCATCCCCCACCCCACACACGCCGCTACGCACACACACCGCTACACACACACCGCTACACACACACATACCTCCCTCCCCCACCCCACACACACACCTCACCATACACACACACCTCCATCCCCCACCCCACACACCGCTACACACACACACCGCCACACACACACACACACCGCTACACACACACACACCTCCCCCACCCCACACACACACCTCACCATACACACACACCTCCATCCCCCACCCCACACACGCCGCTACGCACACACACCGCTACACACACACACACCGCTACACACACACATACCTCCCTCCCCCACCCCACACACACACCTCACCATACACACACAAACACACCTCCCCCCCACACACACCGCTCCACACACATCGCTCCACACACATCTCACCATACACCTCACACACCGTTACACACACACTTCCCCCAACACACACACACACCTCGTATACCTCACCAGACACACACAAACATCTGTCTTTCCAGTGGCGATGTTCACTACACACCGCACCAGGTACTGTTTTGAGGCTGAGTCGACCTAGGGGAGGCCCAGGGCCGGTTCAGATAATCATCACCGGTGTTGGTGGCCGTGAGCGGGAATCGAACTCGGGTTGTGGGGTTCATAGCGCAGCGTAGCGCTAACCTCTCCACGACCGATCGCCAACACACGTGTCTGTGTGTGTCAAAAGACAGAGCCCCCGTATAGCCTTAACAGACTGTTGGGGCAAGTGCTTTGAGCGAGTTAGCACCGATGAAGGCCGGGACGGCACACGAGGGGGTGGTGTGGGGGGCCCGGCCGCCTTTGTCTCCCCACACACACCTCCCCCCCCCACGTTTGCTAAAAGCAAGACCCAGACCGAAGTTACCCCCACTCCTATTACCCGTGGGCAGATTAACGGTGATCTGTGTGGAACAGACAACTGAATAAATAATGAATGAATGCTTAAGCGTGCCACGTGGTCTGCTGCTGTTGTTGGCTGCTCCTCACTCGTCGAGGGGTGAAGCAGCGACTCCGTAAGTCCGCGGTGGCTAAGAGATGTTACTGGTAAGAACCTCCTGGTTACACCAGCCCACAGGGGATTATTGTGTCCGTCCGTCCGTCGTGCAGGGAGGGGCTGGGTGGGGAGGGTGGGGAAGGGCTGGGTGGGGAGGGTGGGGCTGGGTGGGAAGGGGAGGGTGGGGAGGGGCTGGGTGGGGAGGGGCTGGGTGGGGAGGGGTAGGGAGGGGCTGGTCACCCCGTGGTGCCCTTATAAAACTCAACGTTTAACTTACTCACGCCGGCTTTTGCCCGCCCTCACAGTCGGGCATATTTGCGGAATACACCACGCCGCCATTGACCCTGGCCATTGACCGAGCAAACCAACGTTCCTACCAGCTCCCTCCGCAGAAATGTGTTAATTCCCTCGCCTGGCATACAGGAGGTCGCGGGTTGGATCCCGACTCTGACAACAAAGCCTGCTGTATTTGGAGTTTGTGTATATCTCTCATCATCACGGTGGCTTTTGAGATGTTAACCATCTCGCCTGGCATACAGGAGGTCGTGGATTCAATCCCGACCCTGACAACAACGCCTGCTGCTGCTCTATATTTGGAGTTTGCGTGTCTCTCGCTCTCCCCGTGGTCGCGTGGATTTTCTCTGTCCCCTCCGTTTTTTTCCTTCACATTTAGAATCAACAACGTCACGCGTTTAGATTTATTTGGCTGCTGCTATACATATCTACGTGATAAGCCACTTCGTTGAAATATTATTTGTGGCTAAGATATATTAACTACCTCTGGTATACAGATCGTGACTACGATCCCGACTCCATCGATACCTGCTGTTTATTTGGAGTATGTGTGTATCTCTCATCATCACGGTGGCTAGGAGATGTTAACTACCTCGTCTGATATCCAGGAGGTCGTGGGTTCAATCCCGACCCTGACGATGCCTGCTGCTGCATATTTGGAGTTTGGGTGTCTCTTTCCCCGTGGGCACGTGGATGTTTCTCCGGTCATTCCCTCCACATTCAGAGTCAACGTCACACATCCAGAGTATTTTGGCTGCTTTCAATTTCCACGATGATAAGCTACTTGGGCTCTCATTTGTGAAGGCCAGGTCGTTTCTGAAAACGAGTTACATAGCTCAGTGGGACCTTACCTGGTAAAACGTCACGTGACCAGCCATGGCGTGTTGCTTTACTGCCTTGGCTGAGCTGCATTCAGTGTTGAGAAATCGTTTTCGAATTAGGACGCCACTGAGAGCTATGCATTTTTAACTCATCTCGATTTAAAAAAAACCCATTTCTTGAGTAGAATTGATTTTTTTTGGGGGGGGGGGGGGCTTTAGTTTGTCCTTCCCGCCAGCATTAAGCGCGGGTGGCTACATACGGTTTGAAAGAAGTTCCATATTACTGTACATACATCCCTACTTGGACAGCCATTCCTCGATTTACGAAAAGGATGCGTTCAAGAGACACACGGAGAACGAAATTTGCATAAACTGGAGCAGCTTTTACCATTAATTTAATGCGAAAAATGTGGGATGTGTCAAATCTACTCCAAACCTTTTTTCACGATACAAACTAAAGTGATAATAATTATGATGAACGTGAATATAAGATGATTGAACAATTAACTAATTAATAAACTTTAATAATTCACCTTTTCAGGGAACTTGGCAATATGGAATGACTGGGAAAGGCGAATGTGGAGGTGTTACTGTTGCATTGTGGGTGATGTGGAGGTGTTACTGTTGCATTGTGGGTGATGTGGAGGTGTTACTGTTGCATTGTGGGTGATGTGGAGGTGTTACTGTTGCATTGTGGGTGATGTGGAGGTGTTACTGTTGCATTGTGGGTGATGTGGAGGTGTTACTGTTGCATTGTGGGTGATGTGGAGGTGTTACTGTTGCATTGTGGGTTATGTGGAGGTGTTACTGTTGCATTGTGGGTTATGTGGAGGTGTTACTGTTGCATTGTGGGTGATGTCGAGGTGTTACTGTTGCATTGTGGGTGATGTGGAGGTGTTACTATTGCACTGTGGGTTATGTGGAGGTGTTACTGTTGCATTGTGGGTGATGTCGAGGTGTTACTGTTGCATTGTGGGTGATGTGGAGGTGTTACTGTTGCATTGTGGGTTATCTGGAGGTGTTACTGTTGCATTGTGGGTGATGTGGAGGTGTTACTGTTGCATTGTGGGTGATGTGGAGGTGTTACTGTTGCATTGTGGGTGATGTGTAGGTGTTACTGTTGCATTGTGGGTGATGTGGAGGTGTTACTGTTACAATAAAAACTGCTATTTAAACTATATTCTTGGTTCTTTCGGTAAAGTCACGTAGAAGGGAAACAATAAAATAATAAAAGTATAAAACAATAAAATTCTGATGATTGCTTGTGTTACAGTCGATACGTCGTGAGAATTTTATTGTTTTAGATTTTATTATTTTATTATTTCCCTTCTACGTGACTTTACCGAAAAAAACAAGAATATGAATCCCTGCAGTCACGATAGCTTTAAATCAAAATGCTATTTAAACTATTCTATTTATTTTACCATGTAAGGCTCACTGAGCTATGTAGCTCTTTTTTCAGCGGCGATCTGGCCACAAATGATAGCCCAGCGAAGTGGAAATTTACACCAGCAGCCAAATCCTCTAAACGCGTGGGGACGTTGATTCTAAATGTAGAGGGAAAGAAACCGGAGGACTCGGAGAAAAGTACACGCGACCACGGGGAGAGAGAGAGACACGCAAACTACAAATATACAGCAGCAGGCGTCAAGGTGGGAATCGAACCCATGACCTCCTGCACACCAGGCGAGGGAGTTAACATCTCGCCACCTCGGCGACCCAGATATATACATTTATGTATCTAGGAGAGCCAGGCTGAATGTTATTACTCTTTTCATTACATGGTGGGTTTTTTTTTTAT